ACACAAAGTGATCCACAAATTCAATGCAAACCCTATCAAAACTCCAGTGAATTATCTTAAAATTGATGTGGAACCACAGAGTACCTCAAATAGCCAAAGCAATCCTGAAATCCTGAAAAACAACTAAGCTATAGGCATCACACTCCCTAATTTTAAGCTATATTATAAAGCTACTAGAGGCCCAGTGCATGAAAATCCATGCACTGGAGGGGGGGGGGGGGCGTCCCTCAGCCCGGCCTGTCCCCTCTCACAGTCTGGGAGCCCTCAGGGGCAGGAGGTGACCTGGCGATCAGGGGAAGGCGATGCCCCCATCACACCTCTGCTGCTGCCACTGCTGGCAGCACAAGCCTCAGCCGGCCCTGGTTACCTGCACCTCGGGTTGACCCTGGGCAGCTGGGGGGCTGAAGGGACTCTGGAGGCAGGCGCACAGAGCAGCCGGGCCCGCCTGGGTGTAGGCCTGGCCTTGCCACATGCCTGCTGTCCCAGCAGCGTTGAGGGTACTGAGCGCCACCATCTTGTGGCTATGGGTGCCACCATTTTTGAGGGCATGGTGGTCAATTAGAATATTCCCTCCTTATTGGCTGTGGGCGCCACCATCTTTGAGAGTGTGGCAGTCAATTAGCATATTCCCTCCTTATTGACTGTGGGTGCTGCCATCTTTGAGGGCATGGAAGCCAATTAGCATATTCCCTCCTTAATGGCTATGGGTGCCACCATCTTTGCAGCCTGCTGCTCATTCGTTTGGTTGTCCCTCACTAACCCCCCTGCCAGCCTGGTCGCTCCTCGTAGCCTGTTTGGTCATCCATTTGGTTGTTTCAGTTGCAAAAGTCACTTAGGCTTATATATATATATATATATAGATTGTAATAAAAACAGAATGGTACTTGCAAAAAACAAAAACAAACAAACAAACAAACAAACAAAAACAGGTACATAGAACCAGTGGAATGAAATAGAGAGCCCAGATATAAATCCATGCATATATGGTCAACTAATTTTTGACAAGAGCACCAAGAACATATATGGGAAAAGGATAGTCTCTTCAATAAATGGTGTGAAACTGAATATCCATATGCAAAATAATTAAACTGGTCTCCTTTCATATACTACTCAAAAAAAAAGTCACTCACAATGAATCAAAGACTTAAGTGTAAGCCTGAAACCATAAAACTCCTAGAAGAAAACAAAGGGGAAAATATCCTTGACATTGGTCTTAGCAATGATTAGATAAGATACCAAAAGCACAGGCAACAAGAGCTAAAAAACAAACAAAAAATAAAACAACAAATAGGACTACATCAAACTAAAGAGCTTTGGCCCAACAACAGAAACAATCGATAAACTCAAAAGGCAAACTACAGAATGGGAGAAAACATTTGCAAACTACATATCTGATATGGGGTTAAAATCTGAAATATATAAAATACTCATATAACTCAATAGCAAAATAACAAGTAATCCAATGAAAAACGGGCAAAGAACCTGAAAAGAAGACATACAATGGCCAACAGGTATATGAAAAGGGGCTCAAAATCACTAATTTTTAGGAAAATGCAAATCAAAACCACAGTGAGCTAACACCTCATACCCATTATGAAAAAGCCAAGAGATTACAAATGTCAGCAAGATTGGGAAGTAAAGGGCACCCTTATACAGTGCTGCTGAGAATGTAAATTGGTACAGCCTTTATGAAAACAATATGGAAGTTCCTCAAGAAATTAAAAATAGAACTACTATATGATCTAGCAATCCCACTCAGGGGTATATCTGAAGGAACTGAAATCAGTATCTTAAAAAAATATATCTACAAACCCATGTTCATTTTAGCATTGATTCACAATTGGCAAAATACAAAAGAGTCTTTCAATGAATTAATTAATATAAAAAATCCTATATAATAAAAGCCCAGTGAATGAAATTACAGAACTACCAGAATGACCAGAGACCAGAATGACTGTGGCCCCTCGCTCCAGCCGGCCCTGACCCCCAGCGGGGACCCCCACCACGATCACATATGTGGCCAGCCTACAAACCACCCATGGATTCTCACCTCGGCCCACCCTGCCCACCAGCGGGGATCCCCACCCTGATCCGGGGCCCCCATAAAGGCAGGCCAGCCAGCCCTCATCCATGCACTGGGCCTCTATCCTATATAATAAAAGGGCAATATGCAAATTGACCCTAATGGCGGAAAGACCAGAACGACTGCTCGACCAGTCACTATGAGGTGCACTGACCAACTCTTGATCCCTTTCCCAGGCCGGCAGGCTCTGATTGCCTGATGGCAAACAGGGAACCAGGGGTGGGTGGCAGTGGGGGGAGGAGCCGGCTGTGGGCAGCCGGGGAAGATGGCCCTCATCGCAGGCCAAGCCTAGGGACCATACCCATGCATGAATTTCATACACCAGGACTCTAATATAATATATATTATTCAGCCATAAAAAGAAGGAAATCCTGCCATTTACAACATGAATTAAACTGGAGGCTATCATGCTAAGTAAAATAAGCCAGACAGAGGAAGACAAATATTATATAGTATAACTTCTATGAGAATTTTTTAAAAAGCCAATTTCATAGAAATAGAGAATACAATTGTGATTGCCATGGTCAATTGAAAGAGGGAAATGGGGTGATATATGTCCAAGCGTACACATTTTTAGGAGTAAGAAGATGTTCTGATGATCTAATGTACATCATGGTGACTATCTATAATAATAAAAGCGTAATATGAAAATCGACCAAACAGCGGAACAACCATCCAGACGACCTTCCGGACAAAGCCGAGGCTGCGAGGGCCGAGGCAGCCGGGGCTGCAAGGGCCGAGGCAGCAGGGCTGCAAAGGTCTACTCTAGCACAAATTTTGTGCATCGGGCCTCTAGTAGTTAATAATATGGTATCACATACTTGAAAATTGCTGAGAGTCAATCCTGGGCATTCTCACCACAAAAAGAAAATTAACTATCTGAGGTGATGGATGTATTAATTATCTTGACTTTAGTAATCATCCCACAATGTACATTAAATCATCACATTGTATACTTTAAATATGTATAATTACATTTGTCAATTGTTACCTCAATAAAGTTTAAAGAAATACATGGCTAGAAACAGTATCTAGTAGTCACTATAATGATGGTCCTAAGAATCATGGCAAAGTTTGCTCGTTTATCACATTTGTAAAATGGCAAGCCTTTGCACCAAAATATAAAGAGTATAAAATAATAATTATTATATCTTTACTCTTTCCTACTGTTTTGTATCTTAAACTTCTTGAATAAATTTGTAATTATTCAAATATAATGAAGCTAGAATAGATGTTATTTATGTGTAAAAGCATACTTGTAACATATTTACTCAAAATAATATTTTTCTAATATTCATCCTGAAGTAAGTTGTTATTTACAAATAGTCATAGAATTGGTGGTAGGTGGGAAATAACTACAGACATGTCTCTAAACTCATCTCAAACTATCTTAAATTATTTTTTGCATTATATTTCAAGAATCAATACAGTTTAAGTAACTGAATGTATATCCTGCAAAATCTAGCCCAAAACCTCATATATAAAAATTAATAGATTTTAAATATAATTCTACACTTTCACTTATTTTTATAAAATATCAAAAATAGCCTTTTGGAGCCAATGTGATGATCCATATCTTGAACAGATATTTTCTAACACTATGTATATCCTTACATATTATAGCATACAGTATTAACTAATAATCATTGAGATAGTCATTACCTGAATGCAAAACCATATATCTAAATGACTGCACCAAAGAATTCTGATGAATTATTATTTGATCTTTAGTTATAATTAGAAATATCTTGTTTTTAAGAAAAAAGAATATCTTGCTTTTAACACTTTTAAAAACAAAATATTATTAAATAAATAAAGCACATAGATATCCTATAAATGCAATTCAATACACCAGTAGACTTTAACACTATTTTAATAATTATTAAATGGCTATTAACTGTTAAACAGTGAGATATAAATGCTCAACTAAAATTAAAACTAAAAGAAGGGGTATAAGGAAAATCCTAATCCAAGTAACAATGGGAAAAAGTTCATAGTGTACCATATTTTGATGAATGATCATTTGACCAAAGTCTCTGCCATTCGAAGTCTAGTCTTTAAATTTTCATTTATTATGCTTATAATCCAGGAAACGTGCTTAACCCCCCAAATCTCCCTTAAGCATTGTTTTTAAAATATATGTCATGTCACTGTCTACACCCCCATTGGCATCTGCAATCAAAATAAGTAAGTTTTTAAGGGACATTCAGGAAAAAACAATTTGTCAGTATATAGGTCAGTTCTCTTCTACACTAATAAAAGAGAAAAATGCAAATTGACAGTACCTTCATGACGCCCACCAGCCAATCAGGAGTGCGTATGCAAATTCACCCAATAAAGATGGTGGGTTAATTTGCATACGCAGGCGCCGAGCTGTCGGGGGCGGGGCGGGACGCTTGCATCGTGAACGTCATGGCAACGATGCAGGTGTTCAGCACCACCCCAGCTGCTCCGGGCTTCTGGGCAGCATGGGAAGGCAGAAAGGCACTACGGGCGGGAACCAAGGCAGAAAGGCAACTCCGGGCTGGAGCGAAGGTGGTGCCGGCAGCCAGGGGAATGAAGGCCCATTCTTGCACGAATCTTCATGCATCGGGCCTCTACTATTAATAATATTACAACTGACATTTACATAGCTCCATTTCTACAGCAATTTCTTATTCAGTCTCCAAACATTTATTCATTAATAGTTCCAATATTTCTATGCATTTGGCAAATATTCATCTCCATTTTACTGATTTATAAAACAAAGTTCTAACTTGTAAAATAACACGAATTTAGTAACTCTATTTTCTAACTCACAGTCTCATTTCTATGAGCCAGGAAGAAGAGAAGAATATAATATATGTAGCATGAAATAGTTTGGCTTCCTCAGATTAGTGAAATATCCAATTAGCACTTGGGTGTTACCTATTCTCACCTTTTTATATGCGATCCAGTCAAACACCCTGTCAATATCTGTTGCCTGTAGCACTTCCTGTGATACTGGATGGGAACTGGCCAAGCCATCAAGCAGCATCACTTCATGCAGAACATCCGTCAGAAACCTCTGTTTTTCCTGCAATACAGTAGACAGGGCAATATCAAGGTGATTCATGGTTATGACAGAATGTGTGTGACATGAACAGAATCCGTGTTACTTAATTGATGATGTTCATCAGCCTACATGGCAAGACTTAACTCTAAAGAGAACCCAGTATATAAAATGCCCCTTAAGTTAGTCTAAAATAAAAGTGGTGATCTGAGCACATGAAACAAAATCAATGAACTACAAATAGATGGAAACAGTGGACTCTGCACTTTAACAGTGGTTAAAGCAAATTTGGACAGTGGGCACATAATGAAACTGACAAAGCTTATTCATGCATTCTTCATGGTCAAGACTACAATCCCAGTCCCAAATAACCTTCTTAGTTGAGTTCAGTATCAACTAAATTTCAGGGTTTCAGTGCTATTTTTCTATTTACACCATTTATTTCTAGTACCATTGAACAGCTCAGCCTCTCTCTCTCTCTCTCTCTCTCTCTCTCTCTCTCTCTCTCTCTCTCACACACACACACACACACACACTTACACATACACATTTATTTCAGGAGGCCACAATAAATAATAAAAAACATTATTGACATGAAACTATAATATCTGTGGATGTATAATGTGTATGTGAATTCAGAATAATGGACATAAAATGAACATCAGTAGATATTAATATTCCATTAAATTAACTTGTAAAAACAGACAAAATTATGAGACTTTTATTCTGTTCATCCTTGAGGCATTAGTATTTTCTGTAATAAAAGCTGATTTGTTATGTTAGAAATAAACTGTAAAGAAAAATTACATCTCTGTTGTTTTTATTTTATGAAGCCTGCTTTAAAGAAACAGCTTGGGTTTTGTAAAAAAAAAAAAAAAAAATGCTGCCAGCTATTCCTCCGCCTGGCCTCCTGCCTTCATTGAGGGAGGAGGGAAAGAAAAAAGAAGTAGCAAGAGATAACAAGGGCTAAATAGCCCCTCGATAATTGGGACCTGAGTATCATTACCGAGATTAAAGAGTGCAACACTTAAATTGCTCCAGCTAATTCTGAATTCATTCCTGGAGCATCCTAGTTTTGAGCCAGCAGATAAATAGTGTGTTATTTCTGAGTGAGTTGTAATTTCAAGCTGAGAGAACATCAATCCTGGACTTTAAAAAAAATAGAAATGGAAAATAAATATGCTAAAAACAATAGTTAATTGGGCATGTATGTGTATTACTTTAAATCTGGCTGTAAAGAAACATTTTTGCTCATCATTATTGGCTCAGTGATTTAGCATGTTTAATCAATGATTCAAGTAATTAGCCATCCAACTATATACTGTAAGATTTACTTTATAATAGCTTATTTAATAGTCTATTGACTATGTATCTAATTTCTTCAGTCCTTTTTTGTCCTAAGAGTTTCACATCATTGGTCTCTGCTCCCTCAGAGGGCAAGGGATCAATGACTGAACCCAAAGTCACTCTGAGTTCCAGAAGACTGTTCCAGACCATAAGAAGCCACAGTGAGCCCAGCTGGTGTGACTTGCTGATTGAGTGTTGACCTATGAACCAGGAGGTCATGGTTTGATTCCCGGTCAAGGCACATGCCTGGGTTGCGGGTTTGATCCCCAGTATGGGGCATGCAGAAGGCATCCAATAAATGATTCTCTCTCATCCTTGATGTTTCTATCTCTCTCTCCCTCTCCCTCTCCCTCTCCCTTCCTCTCTGAAATCAATAAAAATATTTAAAAATAAAAATTTTAAAAAAGAGGCCACAGTGAGAAGTTCAAACTTACAACAAATTAATTGACAAATATGACATAAACTAATACCGTATTTTTTCTCGACTTAAATTCTTCATATAAGACAAATTAAAGAGCATGAAGTTGGACCTTGTGCTTTAAAATTTTAAGGACAAAAAGACTGGTATATACATTGCTCATTTTAAGTGCATTATAAAGCAAAATTATAAAAGAGAAAATAATGTATTTCCAAAATAAAAATGTTAATGCTACTTTTAAGCAGGCATGCAATCTTGTTACTCAATTTCAAAATACACATTAAAATTATTTGATGTTGGAATTCATGGCAGGAATCATGAAATGTATAATTATATTTCAACCTAACCAATAAACATTTTTTATAAGAAGTACTAATTGAAGAGGCAATTTCCATTGAGAAGGTAAAATAGTCAAGTCTTCAAATAGTGGTTGCCCATACCATTATGTCACTCAAATGTCTCATAAAAAAACACAGTGTAAAATCAACTTAAAATGATGCTTTATTTAATCCTAATGATAAAGTTAGCAGCAATAAATATATATTGATCAATATTAAAATTTAGTAAACATATAATGGTTTTATATGTGTGATTTTTAAGTGGTATAAAGTAATTGGCTTTATGATTATAAAAATAAAATCTTAGGCAAATTTCAAAAATGAAATTTTCTTATTTAAGCAAATGTAAGTTATACGTGATATGTCACTTCATGCATCTGGAGAAAAACAAACCCTTGCCTAGTAAGTAGAATTTCAAGAAGCAGTGTCTACATTTAGTAGTGTTACATCAATTAGCAAATATATATATTCTACATTGTTGAAGAGAATGATATTGTGTAATTGAGGGGAAAACAGCATTAAGAGAGACAGAGAGGAGAGGAGGGAAAGCCTGGCAGAAGAGCACTCACAAGACTAAGAAGAGAGAAGACCTTAAATTGAGAAGGAAAAAAGAAAATTCTAGCCAGAGGCAAACCAAATTTAGCAAAACTACAAAGGGCATGCAGGAGAGAAGGTGCTAAGTTTTTATAAGGACCTGTGTCACAATCAATGATCTTAGCCTGCCAGTCCCTGGCTGGGACCCTCCTCCTCATCATCATCAATAGCAACAATAACAGCAAAAAACTACTAAGTACTGATCCATTGCCTACTGTGGACCTGAGACTATGGAAGTTTAAAAATAACGTTAAGTAAATAGTGGCTATAATGTGAGATGAGGTAAAATAAAGTAATTAGCCACAGCAAACAAAATAATAGTTTCCTCTTACAGACTAGAAATGCTAAAGAATTTGGGGGGAAATAATATAATTATTTTTTGTAGATATATATATATATATATATATATATATATATATATATATAACAGATATATAAAAATAATAAAATTATTTATGGAAAGTGTAATGGAAAGGTAGCTTTTGTTCTGATCTGTGAGTGTGTGTGTGAGTGTGTCTGTATGTGTGTGTCTCTGTGCGTGTGTGTGTGTAGGGAATAATATACTTAGGGTGCACATTCAACAGTTAGTTTTTATTCTACTTCATATTTTAAGGACACTGTGCACTATTCTACTTTCAAAAAGTAGCACAATAAGATACAATGGAGCATCTATTTACAAATTTAATATTAGTAACAATAAATCCTACCACTCTAATATAGACTCCTTAGAATTGTTAAATACATGCCTACATTTAAACAGTTCTAATAATGTTGAGCATATCATATTATATTGAACTATGCTTCAAAAATATATTAATTTTTGGATAATAATGCAAGCCTTTCAGAAAAGTAAAGTTTAAGCAAATGCACAGAGTTAAGAATAACACATGGAAAAATAGCCACTATTATTTTATTAATTAATTCATTCATACATTCACTCAACCAATTTGTATTAAATTCATACTTTATGGCAGATATTGTACTGTGTTTACGGGATAAATATATGACAAAAGCCTAGTCCCTAACCTTAAAAGTGAAAGTACAAGAGAATGACAGATAAAAAGCTAACTGTATTATGATATGATGGATGCTATAAAACACAGAGGGCGAAATGATTAATTAGTTCAGAAAAGGCTTCATAGACTAAGTGACATTAAAGTGGGTGGTTGAAGGATGAAGGGTGACTCAGATGAAGGGGAGAAGCAGCTAAATAAAAAGGGCAAATCCAGACAGAGGAAACATGAAAAAAAGCTACTCTTTTTGAATCCTCAGTTCTCAGGTTGCAGAGTTTGTTCTTAATAAATAGGCAGCAGCAGACATAACGACCTAGTAAAAGTAGTGTCTTGGGGAAACTAAGTTATCTGCGGTATACAGGGTGACTTGTATGCTGGAATGGGAGACAGAAAGTGGCACTTGCACTACGTGGGGATTTGGTGCAGATGAATTAAAACAAGCTGTTGCTGAAGGACTGTGGGATCTGTATATTTGAATGAAAAAGCAACTGCCATTGATGCTTTGATGCCTTGGTCGCCTTAGTGGATGATGGAGGGGAAGTACGAAGACGTAACCACATGGCTTCTGGACTTGATGGAATTTTTTTTAAAAGGAGCTGGCTATTGACAGAGAAGTGAAAAAAAGTTTGGTTTGGTGGGCCAGCGAAAAAGATCAGCTTTAGACATTGCAAGGAATGTGACAATGAACATCCAAAAGCAATATACTTTACAAGCAAAAGCCTGGGTCTAAGATAAGGAACCAAGTGCTAACCAACTTTTGACAATAAATTTTAGTTTGTATTAAAATATAAGTGAAGTCTCAAAATTCACTCTTTTTTATTATTTCTTATAATTTTAGCATTTCATATATTAGCATTTAGTAATATATGTAAAGGAAGTTATTAAGAATTCTTATCATGGCATTAGATTCGCCTGAGAAATTATATTCCTTGATGTCTGAAAATGGCTGCCTGACCATCAAGGTCTGAATGGTTAAAAGTGAATAGTCAAGGTGAAGAGTGGGAAAACAGGAAGCACTATTGAGAGGTAGGGTTGTCAGCAAGTTCCTATTAGAAGGCTGACTAATCTCAGCAGAGAAATACCAGGCAGACACTTTGTCACCAGAAAAGAAAGAAAAAAAATCAGAATAATCTGAATTGAGATCAAAGAAACTCATATACATCAAACCAGGCAAGGAAGATGAATGCCAAGCCTGAGCCAATTCAAGCAATGGAGAAATGCTCATAGGTATTAAAAGAGGAAAAAAAATTCTCAGGGCAAATATTTTTGTTTATTTTGTTAATTAGATTCCACATATAAGTCAAATCATGTAGT